AAGGTTTGTATCAAGCCTCTGTTAGCAAGTTGTGTGTGAGTGATAGCCGCTAAGCTAACTGAAGTAGCCGTTGCTGTCGCTGCATAAAACTTATTTTGGTTGAATGAAAAGTGTTCATAACTATACTTACTGTTCCTTCCGTTCTTCAAGACTTACAATTGTGGACGATGACATAGACTGGAAACAGATGATCAATGAGGAGGAGGATGAAGAAGACGAAGAGGAAGCTCCAGTGGTAAGAAGTTAGCTAACTTTATTTAGCTGGCTAGCCTGTGTCCATTCATTCACATGCAGTGATTAGCACGCTGACTTCTTCATGTAAACATACCGTGTACTGTCATTGTATGATATTAAGTAATCACCAGGTTATAACGTATTTGTTATGTTTGTGTCTCAAACATGCAATTGAATGTAGAAAATGTTTTTGAAAAGTATGTCATCACTTTTATAAAAAAACAAGTAAATTAGCGTCATTTTGAGATAGTGGGTCATACAATATGGGTTAAAAACTTTAAAACCCTCATTATGTATTTACATTTAAATTAAGATATACTTATTATATTGGGACAAAGACGTCAGACAATACTTTTCTTTTAATGGTTACATCCATAAGATTTTAGAACATTGTGAAATTCAAGTCCTGCTTATTGATCTTGCCACACACTGACTGTCATGCTTCAATACAAGCAGAGGTATTAAACAAATGGCTACCATGTTATGTAGATGACTTATATAGGCAGTTTCTGTGATACTTTCCAAACACTCTTGAAATGTCCCCTCTTGTGTTTGCCTACTTAGATTGCTGAGGTGATTGACGAAAGACCAGCGGATGTGAAACAGCTGGAAGCCTTCAGAACCAGCCATAGATGGAAAGTTATTGGAGGTAATGTGGACGTACCCATGATAAGTATTGTATCCACTCTAAACAGGCTTATTTAATTTGGGTCTCCTCTACCAACAGCTGACGAAAATGAAGACACAGAAGAAGTCGAAGGAGGAGATAATCAACAGCAAGAGGAGGCACCAAGCGGGAGTCGCCATGACTCTCCGGACATATCCCCTCAAAGAAGAGGTCGCCATGACTCCCCAGACATGTCCCCTCAAGGAAGAGGTCGCCATGACTCCCCAGACATGTCCCCTCAAGGAAGAGGTCGTCATGACTCCCCTGACATGTCCCCTCAAGGAAGAGGTCGTCATGACTCCCCAGACTTGTCACCTCCTAGGCAGTCCAAGAAATCGGGGAAGGCAGAAAGTAAAGGTGAGAAGGTTGATGAGGAATAACTTTTCTGGATAAAAACATAGAGAAAAAAAGATGGGGAAAGTCATAAAAAAGACATCACCAAACAGAAAACCTTGAAAGATTTGTATTCAGTATATCAAGTTTATTGAAACATATTGGAAAATACCCGTAAAGTTGTCTAATGTATGCCCATGTCATGTGATTACTTGATAGTCAAATGGAAACCTCTTTTTCATTTTCCTGGAACAAATGTCAGTTTTTTAGAAGTCATTATGAAAAGACTCCACTTCTTCCACATAAGTACATACTTCATATGGTTTAAGTGCTTTGTTATAATAACATTTCGCTCAACAATACTTTTTTTGTCAGATTCATCAAGTAAAAAACGCTCACCTGATTCTCAGCAATCAACACTGGGAAAAAGAGCTCAGAATCGGCACAATTCAGACTCTGACCAGTCACCTCCAAGAAAAAAGCTGCCTAAGGGAGAAGATGCAGACTCGGACCAATCCCCTCCAAGGAGGAAAAACAAAACAAAACGGGGCTCTGATTCTGACCAGTCGCCACCCAGAAGGCGACCGCGGGGTGGAAAGGACTCTGATGAAGATCTGTCACCACCTCGAAGGCCTGGCCAGGTGAGCAAAGAGAAGTTCAAAGAGTGATATTAATAATAATAATAATTCCTTATATTTATTATAGCGCTTTTTCCATGACCCAAAGTGCTTTACAGATACACATTACACATACATATCAGACATACATGTAATGGTCATGTACTGTGGACAATACCCACAGGAGCAAATTCAGGTGAAGTGTCTTGCCCAAGGACACAACGGCTTTACAGACGCGGAGGCGGGTTTCGCCCCCTTGATCTGATGATCAATGTACAGCCCACTGCGCCACACCGCCCATCTTCACACCTCAAAGTCATCGAGGCGCTTTACAAGTACACATTAATATCATACATGTACTGTGGACAATACCCACAGGAGCAAATTCGGGTGAAGTGTCTTGCCCAAGGACACAACGGCCTGACGCAGTGGCGGCGGAAGCGGGTTTCGAACTGGAGTTCCCCAACGCCCCCTTGATCTGATGATCAAACGCACAGCCCACTGCGCCCCCGAATATTAAATCATATTCCCTGATAATTCAGTGTATGCAAACAATCAGACCCAATCAGCAATTTTTTCTGTCTTCTTTTTAGGTCCCAAGGATGCTCTCTGGTGGGACGTCAGGTCTTGTTTCAATAGATGTTTTAAGAAAGGAGAAGGAGGAGAACAGACGCAGAGACAGAAACAACCTGCCACTGGAAGGTTCGCTCACTTCTTCCTTTATTATTATTATGGAACAACTCACTGGATTTTCCAGATTTGGATCATCTTCACTATCTATGCTTAATCCAAACATCTGTAAGTGTTTTATTGAAGTTCAGTGATGCAGGAAATGACCTTTCATATCTATTTTCCTGCTTTTACTAGATCAATCACGCAATGCCCAGACAGTGTTCCGAGACAAGACTGGTAAGAGGAGGGATTTGGATACAGAGAGAGAAGAGAAGCTAAAGAAAGCTGGAGAAAAGGCAGCAAAAGATGAGAAATATGCTCAGTGGGGAAGAGGGTACGTCTGCATTACATTACACACATTTGAGAAGTGTGATAGTGACCCCATGAAGTTGATTAAAGTCTATGTGTATTTCAAGGATGGCTCAGGGCCAGATGTATCAGCAGAAACTTGAAGATGCGATGCATGAAGCCCACAAGCCGCTGGCACGTCAACGCGACGACGAGGATCTTGATCGCATGTTGAGAGATAAGCAGAGGGAAGGAGATCCAATGGCTGCAATGCTCAGAAAGAAAAAGGACCGCAGTTCAAACACACATGGTAAATTAAGCACCTTGTTCTCTGGGTTGACTGATGCAAAATGTTTTTTCCTTCTATCTATATATATATATATATATATATGTATAGTGTATATTGTAACCTTTTTCTTTTTTTACTTTGCAGACAAACCTAAATATAAAGGTCCTCCACCACCTCCAAACCGCTTTGATCTTCTACCAGGTTATCGCTGGGATGGATGCGACAGGTACAGTGTGATATTCGTATCTGTCAGTCTGTGAAGGAGTGACTAAAAGTGGTCAATGGAAAGAAAGGGTCATAATCTGGGTTTGAGTTTACATTTCCCATTAGAGTGTATAGACTCAGGACCTGCCGCTAGTCTCCTAAATAGGCGGGGCATTACCAAAGCCCATGAGACGTACACATGAAATTGACTCTTAATACTTTGTCTCCTTTCTAAATTGTCTATGTATTAAATGTCCCATGACATGGCCATTTCTACTGATCATAATTCCATTGTTGAGGTATACTAGAATATATTTACATTGTTCCAAAATCACATTGGTTTTCTCATACAGCATCTCTGTATAGTATGTGTATTCACTCTCTGTCCTACACGCCTTGTTGGAGCTCCTGCCCCCCCCCCTTCCCTATGAGCCCACTCTGTTCTGATTGGTCAGCTCGCCCACTCTGTTCTGATTAGTCAACCACTGTTACAGCTGAACATCAGTGTTTGTGTGACAATGGCCGGCGTTTGTTAGCAACCAGAAAATGACACCAGTAATGACAAACAGATGAGAATGCTGCGTGGGGACTGGGTGCCGTGTTGGCCGGACGCTGCGGGGCTCGCTGCTCCGCCCTTTGAGGCTCGATGAGCGGACAGTGTGAGCTGGATTACTGGTGTCGTTTCCTGGTTGCTGCGTGGGGTCTGCGAGACAGCGCGGAGCTCAGCCTGAGCACACACACACACACTCACAGCCTGAGCTCCGAGTGTGTGTACGGAGCTCCGCGCAGCACCGCGGCTGAGAAAAGATAAGGCTGAGTGTGTGTGTGTGTGTGTGCAGAGCTCCGCGGATTGGTCCATTTGGACTTTGTTACCTCCGTATTCCCCAGAAGGAAAAAATGGAAAAAGAAAAATCTCCAACGAGGCGTTCTGGGGCAGCATAGACACGTCTTTTCTGTGTTAGAGTTTTACTCGCTACAGGGTGTACTTTGAGGGTTTGTGACTTTGCAGACCGTTTACATGCAGAACAAGCTACATAACACACAAGGGGACTGGTAATAACCAGAAAAGCATGACATGGGACCTTTAAATTAAAGGTTTGCTCTGGTACATTAAATCAACTATGGAGTTGAATGTGTGATGGCATATTTAACAACAGAATTTGAATTGTTTTTGTCTTGCAGGTCAAATGGTTTTGAACAGAAACGCTACACTCGAATCGCAGATAAAAAGGCAGTCCAGGATGCAGCCTATAAATGGAGTGTAGAGGACATGTAATGGGAATCAGATCTGGAGCCAAGCTGAAGTGCAGGACCACTTGTCCCTAGAACTAAACATGAGCCAGAACATCTGATTTGAGGCTGTTAAAAAAGCTGTGCATAAGACTCATCTATTCAACAGAACTCACATTTTGAATGGATTGAGAAATACTTTGTTTACCATGAAAAGTTATGTAAAATGGACATCAGATTATAACAAAGTGAAAAAACAAAAAAAATAATTGTACATAGCAGTGAAGTGACAGCATCTTTATTATTTTATAATAATAAGTCGATGTGGAGCCAAAACAGATGTGTTTTTCACTGTTTTATTATTAAATAATGTTTTGGTAAAGCATTGTGCCCTGTGTCATAAGTAATCACATACAGCAAAGAAATATGAAGTGTAAAGGGATAGAGTTGGAATGTAGTCATTTCACATTTTGGAGCTTTATTTTACTGAACAAAATATAGAATAGTGTTTGTAGTATGCAATTATCAGAAGTTATAACCGCTACTTAACTCACATCTCAGCAGTTCATTATTCATTACAACTGTGCAAACTCTGTCTGTTGATGAAAATGAGGGCTAAATTATCGAAAGCTCTGGAAAAACTAGCTGAGGAGTTAAAAAGGTTTAATTAAATTATATTATAATGAATTTAAGGAATCGGCCTGTGCATATTTTAATTTCATATTTAAGTATTGTAAATTACAGTATTGTGTAATGACGATACATAAATGACAGTGAGGTTTTTTTTAATAAAGTACAACAACTATTTAAACAGTACCTCAACCTTAATCGAGTAAGTAGGAACCTTTAAAAAGTGACTAGAACTCGTTTCACTACGGAATGTTTTTGTCGATGCACACTACAGACTCAGGTGAAACGTTCTCGGAATCAATGGGGGTTTGTATCTAATAAAAGATGAGTGTTGTGAAATAACCACCTCTAAACTGCTGCTGAAACTCGTGTTTACAGAGAGACATTGTTATCTTAATTTTGCGCCACGATGGTTGACTGGAGTCCGATAGCGAAGGTGTACGACCCGCTGAAAGCTGGCAGCATCGACGGCACGGACGTGGAGCCCCATGACCGGGCGGTATGGAGGGCTATGACCGCCAGATACAAGCCCAACAAAGGCGTTGTTGGAGACCCACTGCTCACGCTGTTTGTGTACCGCCTGAACCCCCAGACGACGGAGGAAAAGCTGCATCAAGTGTTCTCAAAGTACGGAGACATCCAGAGGCTCCGGCTGGTTCGGGACATCGTGACCGGTTTCTCCAAAGGATACGCCTTCATTGAGTACAAGGAGGAGCGGTCTGTGGTCCGGGCCCGCCGGGACGCCAACAAGCTGGTGGTGGACCAGAATGAAGTGGTTGTGGATTTTGAGCAAGAAAGGACCCTCAAGGGATGGGTCCCCCGGCGGCTTGGGGGCGGGCAGGGAGGCAAGAAAGAGTCCGGACAGCTGCGGTTCGGTGGCAGGGACAGGCCTTTCCGTAAACCCATCCACCTGGGGTTCGGTGCTATGCAGGACCAGGGAGGCGGGGGAGGGAGGGAGTGGGACAGACAAGGGGAGAAAGACAGGGAGGACCGGGGGCGACACAGAGAGCCGGAGTGGGGCAGCAAAGGGAGGAGAGATGACCGGGACAGAGGCAGAGAGAGGGACGACCGGAGCCAGAGGGACGACCGGAGCCAGAGGGACAGGAGTAGGCACCGGGAGAGGAGATGAAGACCAAATAAAAAATAAAAAACTTCCAAAAATTACACAGGAAGTCTGTGACAGATGTTTAGATCCATAGCAGCTGCCTGACTAGAAGAATTGGAAGTGTGTAGTGAAAGATCTGTTGGGTTGCACACCTGAGTCTGGTTACAATACAGAGGACTTTCTGGATGTATCATTGGTTTAGTCTGAATGACAAGTATACTGGTTGATATTCAACAGGTTGCAGTGTATGTTAATATTATTTCTAGGGGGAGCTGCCATTTTCAGCTGTTACTCTTAAGTATTTCAGTATGTCCCACCATATTTTACCATATGTGAGGCCTAACAGTATGACACAAACTTTAAAAGCAGAATCTGCAGCTGAGCTGACAAAATGCTAACTTTTCTTATACTTTTGCCATTTACCTATAAGACATCCTAAGGGCAGTGTACCAATTATGTTTTTACCGATGAAGATTTTTGGAGAATCATATTTTGTAAGCATGAGCATTGGTGCAACACTGGCTAAACCACATCAAATAAACCAAAACATTTTGAACACGATGGCTTTCCTTGTTCCTAGCTCAAAACGTAATACGTTTAGTCTCTATTGTTTAATTGGATATCATTTTGTTCAGTGAGAGAAGCCATTACATGTGTTTTTGTATGTTTTACAGATGGTGTTGCAACCAGCTGTTGCAATAACCATAGCTTCAACCTAACGAAAGCGCACCAATTTAAATTCTGCTTGTTTTCTTTAGGCATTTATAAAAGCACAACTTTGTGATTGAGCTTACAATTTCACGCTGTATTTCCATAACAATGGTGCAAAAAAATATATTAAGTCATATACAGAAGTGTATCTATGTAGGTTGGTAGTTTAATTTAAAAGTGATCCTCTTCTGTGACCTCAGCTGACGCCTCAGCTCAGATGTTTTTCTCCTGTTCACTGAAGCTCTTCATGTTTCAGTTATGAGTCACTGAGTGGATTGTCTCCCCTCAAACTGACCACACCTCAGTCTGAATTCATCAATATGAAATGCTAAAAGGTCTGAGCCCTGTACTACGAAGCTGGATTTTCGCTTAGCCGGCTAACTTCAGGGAAATCTCGGGCTTTCCGGTCCTACGACGCTGGTTCTCTTTTTAGCAGGCTAGATTTCCATGGTAACTTATGCTGAGCGGCAAACCTGCTCCGGAGCAGGTTAGGTGGCAGGCTAAGAGATCAATTCAGTGAAAGCACCGCCTGCTGACCAATCAGAGCTCCGTGTGCGGAGTTTAAAGCGATCAATTCATATTACAGGATAGAGGAAAAACTGCCGTTGCAGGAAAGACGGCCGGCCAAAATCAACTGACTGTGTGAACGTGAAAATTAATAGAATATCCCCTCCCATCTTCAGAGCAATCTGACTATTATAATATTAGCGTTAAGAAAGCTTACTTAAATATCTGCCACGACATAAGTAACCGGATCAGAGTAACATTAAGTACAGTCCGCGGCACTGTGAGTGCAGACGTCGATGTGTCCCATTATCATTCATATCATATCACATCATAATGTATCATATATTTCCTTATTTGAGTCAGCTTCTTGAGCCGTATCTGGCCGTGCAACACTCACAGTGTCACATACTGTATGCAGAAGTATTATTTTAAGCAACACATTAAGTTGACGAAACACTCGAGTCAAATTCTCCTAATTAAAGTCAGATCCACTCGTGTCTTGGACGGGGCAGTGATTGAAATTGATGAAAATATAAATAGAGAAAAAGACAACAAAACTGGCAACTCTCGAACTGGTTTATAACATCATTATCCATTTGATGGAATTAGACATGTCCTGCAATAGAAAATATGACCACGACTGATTTGTATTTATTTTTTCATGTTTGGTTGTCCTGACGAGACCTCCCAGTCCTCCGGGGGTTCATGATGGGCCAACCAGGGTAATCCTCTCTCTGCACAGTGCTGAAGTCGATCCTGTGAACCCAAACGCACAGACAGTGATGAGCTGCTCTCTTCCCTCAGCTACAGTATGCCGTGATGTCGTCAAACTCTCACCTGAAGGCGGGGTTGATGCCGATGTTGTCTGGCTGTGGGAGGGCAGGTGTTCGCCTCCTGCGGCAGGAGGACGGAGGAGGGAAATCCTTCTGATACTGAGACTGCATGTATGTCGTTTCTTGTTTCTTTGTCCATGCTGTCTCGTCAGGGTTATGGCCTTCCTCGTCCTCCCCTGCTTCCCGGTCCCTGCGGCTGCTTCCTCTTCCTGCTTCTCTCGAGGATGTGGGAAGAGAACGGTTGGACACCTGCTGTGTGTTGGAGGCGCTGTTGTCTCCTGAAAGGTTATCATTAAATAGGTATGTGTTTCTTTTCATACAAAGTCATGAAATATGCCTTTTTCTGTCAATACAAAATATATAATCTTGGGTAAAACTCCTTTTAATTGTTACTGCCGACATATCTGAAATCTTATAGTCTTTTCCCCCCTTCTGAGTAACGGCTTATAGTTAGGCTAAAAGCTTATCCTTATTATATTTTATTTGTAGTCCTTAATTATTTCAATTTATTTAGGAGAACCATCTTCTCACAGCTTCTTTGAGTGGTACCACCTGAAAGTCTTCTCTTATGACTTCATACCATTTTCATTTTGATCCAAAGTAAGTTCACACTCATTAAGCCAGTAGTTTGCTAGGAAAGTTGTGTATTCAGGCTTTTGTATTTTAAGTATTAACAACTACCTTGTGAATTTTACTAGAATAGCTATATGACTGCTTAACCTTCAAATGAAAGATTTGAAAAGCTCCCATTCCTAATGTTCCCCCTACACACAGCCAAAAACACCCACACACAACTCATTGGAATTTCAGCACTGAAACACTCATACTGTATGTCTACACACAGGCTGCTCAACTCACTCGCAGTTTATCTTAAAACCATAGACTGTATAAACGGATTAAAAGAGGTAACATTTCAGACCTTTGCCTCTGTCTTGTTGTGAGATGGTTCTCGAGCGGAAAGCTTCTCGGGATGTGGTCTCCATCTTAGCGGGAGTATCCGGGTAGAGGAGAAATCCTGGAAAAGGCAAGACATCCAGAGAAATAACTATAGGACATAAATAAACAAGTTAAATTTAGGGATTTTTTTCAAATTCCTTTATTATTAACAACTTACTCTGGAGTCATTCCAGTCAACACATCACCACTGGACTAACTTTACTTGTAATTTGCTGAAATCCTTCCAATCAGGTATTTTTATCTAAGTGTTTGAGTTGGAGAAGGCCCAGTCAATCCTTGTTAAATATGGTGATGTCAGCTATGGCCTGTTTACTTTGAAAGCAGTACGAATAACTATAACCTAAGAACCAAGCTTCATAAAAAATGCCCTGAGATTGAAGCAGAACTATAAATAGCAACAATTATGGATGATTATTGAATACATACTTACCCAATCTTCTATTTTCTCAAACATTTCTTCCAGCTTTCTTTTTCTTGTATTAAGGCCACCAGTCTCCATATCTTATTCAACCTGAACTAGTATATTTTGAACAGAAATATGTGGTAAAATAAAACCTTTACCTGCCACTGTAGGCGGCTCCCCCCTGTAGGGTGGACTCCTCAGAAAGAAGTCATGCTGGCGACGGGCGGTTTGTATGAACATCTTGTCTGTTTTGGCTCCTGGTTCCGCTCTTTGCACTACCAGCTGCTTTGTTGGTGTTTGGTACAACAACCACTGTAAAATTGAACACAGGTTGAGTGAAGTCAGAAGTGCAAGTGGAATAATTGTAACGAGTAGGCACTTGATGATATGAATATTTTTATTTAATCCTAGGATAAATATTTTTAAATTTTGATATTATCCTTGTAATCACTGGACATTGTCATATGAGGATATTCACGAGAATATCAATAATAGAAATCAAAACAATCCACTTGAGTGTTTTTTAATGCAATAAAATCCTTCATATTCCCATCCCTAGTTTCCTTCAAAATATCAATAACAACCAATATAATGCCTTTCTTACCTTACATGTAGAAAAATACAAGCTGTGATATAATTCTGTAGTGTTTCTCCCTGTCTCTGTACTGTGTGTATGTGTGTATGTGTGTACAGCTATACAAAGAGCTTCTTAAAGCTTGTTTACTGCAGTAGTCATGGTGTTCAATTCTTCTCCAGTGAGTGACAGATACAGTAGTTAGCAACTGAGAGAATAAAGCAGCAACGCCACCAACAGAGAGCTTAAACATGGTCTACTTTGAGAGTTTTGAAGTAGCGAGCGATTCAACTGGGTGCTTTGTTTTGTGTCTTAAACGTCATGTCTTGCATCAGTAGCTCAAATTAGATTTACAATAGCCTAGTATGATGATGAAACAATGCATTCGCAGTTGCGTTTTCGACACTCAAAACAAGAAAACAGGTCTCTTCAGCGGTTGCCCTGGAGCATTTGGCCGGCGCTCAGCAATGTGCTGTGCCTCCCAGTGTTCAGCTGGCAGGCCCCCAACTATATTTATTTCATTAGAGGGCCTGTTTTAGCCTGTGATTATTCAGTAGGAAACTGTATACTTGTACTTGTATACTTGCACATAAATAATGTTACCTAATTTATTCAGAGGTATTCTGTGGTACTTGGAAGTCACTTCTTCTATATATTATACCGCCTACTGGATGGACTATTGTATGTGTGTTGTGTGCTGGAGGAGGTAAGACACAGTTTGAACTCACTGTCACATGCTTTCAGGATACTAAGTGCATTTTTATGGAGCTATGATTATGTGAGAGTAATTATTTTAATGATATCCCACTGTGTACAACAACAGCTTGATTCATATCTTATCTTTAAAATAGAAAAAATATTATTCACCATTTAGGTATCCATTTAAATCCCAAAATAAAAAACCTCTTAACAAGATTTAAAAAAACAATAACAATAGATTCCCAATTTTACAAAATGTAAAACAATCTAAACTTGCATTTGATTGCTAAATGTTTTCTTTGTATTTTGTTTTGATATTTGTATTAAATTGTATTATCACACTTCTCATATCTTTGTAATTCTTTTCCTAAATTTGGGATATTTGGACACGCTCCAAATTAAGCTACTGTAATGTAAGAGATGGAAACAACTGACGACATGTAGTTATTATGGGAGGTTGAATTATCACAAATTGACCATCTATCTTAATTACTTCTGTGACGTAAAACTTTTTAAATGATTTAAAAAATAATCAATTTCTTCTGTTCTGCCACTTCAGTAGAACAGTATAACCCACGGAATCGATTAATTAAGATATTATAATTATAATTAATATTATTAATCTTTTTTATTATTATTAGTTTATTAGACTTTGCACTGATTTCAGCAGACGCCAGCAGGAGTCTCCCGTTCCCATAGTAACAAACCTTCATTTAGAGCCGTAAGTAGACGGAGTTAGCAGCACAGACTTTTGCAGACCGCTTCAAATACATCCAACTTTTAGCTCTTGTGCTTTCTTTCGGCGACGGGTGGTGCTTTCTGTATCCACTAGAGATCTTTAAGAAGTCCCTTCGAAGTTCTATTTTCTCATATTGATTCTAAAATGCGAGAAAAGCTGCAGCGTAGAGTTCGTCGGATAGCTTAGCCGAACTCAGTGTCACAGACTGCTGCGGTTAGTGTCCGGAAGTTCTGAGGGGAAAAAGTAAGAAAGGCATGAAAAAAAGCAGCTGGAAGAAACTTCGGACCAATTCAACTTCTCCAAGCCCCTTAAAACACGGTTTGCTTTTGTAACTACCTGGGAGAGCGTTTGCGCGTTTAACATTAGTTCCTTTTAATAATTAGCTGTGTGCATTTGTCTATCAATGGGTCTGCCGACGCTGGAGTTTAGCGACTCTTTCCTGGACAGTCCGGAGTTCAGAGAGCGGCTGCAGTGCCATGAGATAGAGCTGGAGAGGACCAACAGGTTTATAAAAGACCTCATCAAAGATGGAAACATGCTGGTGTCTGCCCTCAGAAGTAAGTGGTCGATCTTTAATAACTGATTTTCGGGGTGAAAGTGCGTGTCTGTTACATTAAGTTACTCAACCAGTTGCACGGTCTGCTGCAGGGAAAGCCATCAGTTCAAACAAAGCCGGTGTAGTTAGTTTATTATAGCTTACCTTTTATTTACTTAATACATTGAATTGTGGAACTGAGAGCAGCACGGTTAGTTAGGTAGTAACAGTGTACAATAGTATATCATATAGTGTGTGTCTGTATCGTCCAGTGGTGGAATGTAACTTGTTAGCAGAGGTGGAAAAAGTACTCAGATCGTGTAGGCCTATTTGAGTAAAAGTAGAAATACCAGAGTGTATGAATACTCTGTTACAAGTAAAAGTCCTGCATTCAAAATGTTACTCAAGTCAAAGTACACCGTACAAGTATTAGCATCAAAATATACCTACAGTACCAAAAGTACTCAGATTGCAGATTGGTCAATTTCTGAATAATATATATGATATGTTTTGATTATAATGATTGATCATTAAAGTGTTATCAAAGCTGGTAAAGGTGCAGCTACTTTTAATGACTTTGTATACTGTAGAGTAGCTTGTGAATTTACTCCAGGAGTAACTAAAGTCTGATTTAAGTGTTGATAACATTTAAAATCGTTAATCCAAATCTGTAAAGTAACTAAAGATATTTAATAAATGTGAGTAAAAGTACACTATTTACCTCTGATTTGTATTGGAGTAGAAGTACATTGTAGCATGAAATGGAAATACTCAAGTTGAGTACAAGTATCTCAAAATTGTACTTAAGTACAGTACTTGAGTAAATCTACTTAGTTACTTAACCCCACTGCTAATTAGCCTATTACAGTTAGGTACTTGTTGGCATAGTTTACTTAGTTATGTCCTTATTGTACAACATTCTTTGCACAGCTGACACAAAAATAAAAGTTACCATTTAATACCAAATATTCCTAAATTAGCTCCACCTCAACTAACTACGACAGTAAAACCCTGCTTTTACATCAATACAGATGTCTATTATTAAATAACAATGATACAGTAAGAGTATAACAGTCACAGGAGACATTAAGTAAAGGATTTGAACAGCCTGCTTCCTCCTGCACTGCTAATGTCATACAAGAATAGGTTCAAGGTTTTATTTATCATACCTTGACAGGACTTTGTCTGGCTTTTATATGATGTTTTGCAATTCGGAGGAGGAGGTTTGTTTGAACCTAGATATGAGTGTAATGAAAAATAAATGATTTAATTTGCCTGACCATCATCGTGGCTATTAATGATTTCAGCATCAATGTCTTCTGCCACTTGAGCAGCTATATGGACACCCAAAATATACATTAGATAAACTGTGTGTCAACTGGTTTGTTGTAAATGTTACAAGCACAGTAACCAGCAGGGCTATAAGTGTCACTCATTTGCCTTATCTATTTCTTTTGGTTCACCAACTTGCTGTAGTAAATGCTTTGCAGTGAGCAAAATAAAAGCAGTAGGCCAAACGAGTCAGGACGCGAACCTGGCTATAGAGAAGAGGTCAGGCTGTCCATTCCCCAGCAAATCACTTTCACTAGCAGTTCTTCAGTTGGTTATTTTGTGGGTAATTCAATAATAATTGGGTCAAGACTCGTGTCAAGACTTGTTAAGTAAATGGAGAAAAATGGCCATCACAATTCCTCAAAGGCCAAAGTGAGCTCTTAAGTTTGCTGACATGGTCTGACGAATACAACAAAACTCTTAAATATACATACAATTATAAGTATTGTTAATACTTACAATTTGAGAGGCATAGCACAGCATTTATAAAAGGCTAATCAATCAACCAAATTGTGTCCTTTAATAGTCCCTGTCTTGAGGAGTTGCCCCAACCAAATGTAAGTTTTCAGACTGCTTATGACCAAAAAAGGTAAAATATGCACAGTTCAAACCAACATTTGGTTGATAGGAAATCTATCGTAGAGTGCAAGATGGCATTTATGCAGCAGTTGTTTGTTTACCCGTTAAATAGTGACATATCATATCCATTAATCATCAGCTAATTAATTATTTCTTGAACAAGCGCGTCCCATTTGTAAGCGGTTTCTTTTGATCACCAAGTCTAACTGAACACAATACAATTATATTCATGATATGCTACCTTGTATTACCTTTACTGACTACAAAGCCTTTTATAAAATGTTTTAGTGTGTTCATCTCCCTTCACAGTGTTTTTATTGCCGCAAATGTGTTTTTTAATTACACTGAACAATGCTGTCATAAAAATGAAGGAAACACATTCAAGTTTTGTCGGCATCCGACCGCAAACCGGCTGCATTAACACAGTCCTACATCACTTATTGAAAACAGGACACTTGATTATGGAGACAGATTGCAGTAGGTAGACTGCTGTACATAACACAGCTGAACATATTATAAATATTGATAATTAAGGGCCCAATACTTTTGACCCTCTGACAGGTGTAACTGAAGTGTTCGACTTACTGATCAAATATAACAATTCTGTCTCCCAGCTGTTTATAATCCAAATAACATCCCGGCTTCCCCCCAGCTTCTACAAACAGACCTTTTACTGCACCAGAAAACATAAATAATACTTTGGTCCACAAGTTGTGCTTTTAAGTAGCAATATGGAATCTTAATTTATGTTTTCAAAATAGGATAAAGCTTTTTACTGTTTCATGCATTGGCCTTTAAAACTGTTGTTTTTCCTGATCTCTAGGGAGTCATCTCCTATAAACGGACTCTAAAAGACCTTTTAATGGTTTTATTATTGGTTTATAATGCAGTGTTGTGATTGAAATAGCGCCTTACATCAGCTGGCATGCAGTGCAAGGGAAAAAATGCAGACTTGTGTTGCCAAATATTTATATGCCGCAGAGAATAATAGGAGGTATTAAACTCTATTAATGGGATGTTGTTTGGATACGTAAACACAGTTCCCAGAGACTAATGCTGTAAAGTGGAGTTTGTAGCAGGGTGTGGTTGTTTACACTGTAGACTTTGACACCTTGTGTTTTGACTCATAGGAAAAAACATTAACAGTTTCTTACAGCACGGAATGAATGATTCTGCTTGTTGGAGCTTTATGTTGTGTTGGACCAATTATGGCAATCCCCTGCCAGACGCATTCTTGAATGATATGGAAATAGTGAAGTTATATTAGTTATGGCAATAATACAAAACCTGCTTTAAATGTCCTCCTTCTATTTTTCCCAGGTCTTTCTCTTGCTGTTCAACGGTTCTCTCATTCCCTGCAGGAGTTCCAGTTTGAATGTATTGGAGACGCGGAGACTGATGATGAGATCAGTATAGGTAAGATGAAAATGTCCGCAGTGGTCTAAAAAAAAAGAAAAGTACAGACTGCAAATATTTATCCAATATGATCATATTTGAAGTGTAACATTAACATATATTTCACAGCTCAGTCCTTAAAGGAGTTCTCTCAACTCTTGAGCACCATGGAAGAAGAGAGAAAACGACTGGTAATATACTGTGTGTGTGTGTGTGTGTGTGTGTGTGTGTGTGTGTGTGTGTGTGTGTGTGTGTGTGTGTGTGTGTGTGTGTGTGTGTGTGTGTGTGTGTGTGTGTGTGTGTGTGTGTGTGTGTGTGTGTGTGTGTGTGTGTGTGTGTGTGTGTGTGTTTTTGTATGTGTGTGTGTGTGTGTGTTTTTGTATGTAGGAAAGAGATAGAAATTAGAAAGAGAATATCAAAATGCGGCGCTGTTCTGTACATTAACAAAAAAGAGGACATTCTTTTGCCTGTGACCTTGAAGCGACGCTACATTTAAATGATGGGCGAAGAAAACAGTAACTAGGTCGACTAACTCTATGAGTGGCATTGTATTCTATACAATGTAAAGCTTTGTTCCTAATAATTAGGTTTATGGCTATTTACTTTTTTGAAGAGATATTTATGTTAATTAAAAAGAAGTCCTCCAAGAACTTTGAATGGTTATTCAAAAAAGATTTAGACATGTTCTGAATGCACCATTATACTAAAAGCCCCTTCTAAAACCACATTGGTGTCACTCACTTCATGATTTCAGTTTGAAAAAGTCGCCATTACCTGATTTACCAATCTTGCTTCCTCAAGCCCCTTGTCCTAATTTGGTTTTCCCACAAGTCTGATGATACTTCTTTTGTAACATTTCTGCCGGCAGCAGTGTGTGCTCCATGGCAATTTTGGAGAAATGTCTCAGGCCCTCCATCAACCAGAGGGCTTTGAGCAGGAGTGATTGGAGTCTGGCACAGTCTGTGTGCAGGCAGACCTCTGCGCATGTGCAATAGCTTGCTACCTTATGCATAGCCCTCTGTCTGCCTGGGAGTGTGTGTGGCTGTGTGCATGGTCTTGTTACAGAGGAACCATGTGGAACCTATTCTGCCAATTCCCCTGTGAGACTGTGAGCACAGGCCTGGGAAAGTCCAAAAAGGGTTGTGTGTGTGTGTTCTCTTTCTCCCTTTCTTTCTTTCCTCCTTTGTGTGTGTTTGAGTTGTATGCTCCTCCACAGATAGCTCTTAACCTTTACTAATACCATCATTATTGTGAGCAATCCCAGTGAATTGGTTTCTCTGAAATACCTGCCTGTTCAACCTGAAACGACTATAATTACTATTTGACGATGGCCTTCAGTCTCTCAGTGTTCAGTTTCATCCTGCATATTGTAACGTGATGAAAACATACAAAGAAAGGAAGCCTTTCTTTGGTTACTCACGTGTTTCTAAACTGAAGTGAAAGTCATTATGCCGGGGGTTTCAAATCTTTTTACAGTCTGATGCTTAAACCAACTACACAGAACAAAGCAAGAAATGACAGAGACCAAATGATTTAGACTCGTGACTAAAGAGGGCCGAGACCTTGTATAAACACCAGAGCTCTGATAATACTGCTCAGTAGCCTTCCTTGCTGCTTGACTCAAGTCTCAACATCAACCACAAGTTTCCCATACTGTACTGTACAGCGGACAAACATGGTAACACTGTTGTATAATGACTATTTTAGATTTGGAGGTTTTTTCTAGTTAGTTGACATTCATTCCTCATGCCCGGATATGTGTTCAATCAATCAATCAATCAAATTTGTATACAGCCTCACATTTGTCTCCGGGGGGTTTACATATCACACACTCTGTCCTTTGCAGCGGAACAAGGAAAAACTCCCCAGAGATACCCAACAATGAAGGGAGAAAATATAGAATAAACCCCAAGGAGAGTAACAGTGGAGGGATCCTTCTTGCAGGACGGACAGACGTGCAATAGGTGTTCTGTGTACAATAAAGTTGCAACTCAGACATTTTAATGTAAACATATATTAAAAAAACGAAATGATCCTGAATGTTCCTCTTGCACCATCATCAGATAAAAATTAGTTTAGTCTATATTACATTTTGGTAAATATTTGCTTCATTAAGGACTTCCCCATCAGCCCCAGCTGTAGTTTGTGTAAAGTGCTAATAAACAGAAAATAGGTCCCCATTGGAGCGCTTATACAATATGACACACTGAGCTGTTTTCCTTCCCTCAGATCCAGAATGCCGATGACGTGTTGATCTCACCGCTCGAGAGGTTTCGCAAGGAGCAGATTGGAGCTGTTAAGGTACAATTTGAGATATTAGAACCAAAGGGTAACAACAGATTAAAATTTGGGCCACAACTGAGGTTCAAGTTCAAGGTTCAAGGCTTGTATTAGTCATACGTACATAGCTACAGTGTAGTTATGACTATGAAAATCTTAGGTCACAGGCTCCACCAACAGTGTAACACAATAAAACTGAAAAAATAGTAGATTATTAACACAAAGTTATTGTACCGGTAAACTTCAGCTTTACTACACCGGAGATTTAAAAAACTTCCCACAGGCTCTGCTGAGGTTTTTACAAGGCTAATATGTGAAGGTTCATTTCATGAGGCGTGCTAAGTGTTAGTTATCCAACACTGCGGGTGGTGATCGGACACATCATCCTGCTCTGGTCTCAGTCAGTTTCTTAGTCAGTGGTCAAGGAATCCAATTTGTTCAGATAAACGACAGATCACAGTCCAGTGTCAGAAACGAGGTCATGGGAACGAATGCTGGGAGGAAAGACAGGGAGCGCGTCACAGACAGAGAGATAGTTGAACTCAGAGAGGCAGTATAAACACGAAGCGAGTCCAGTGTCTGGTTTCAGCAGCTGTCTCAAGTGTTTAATTCACTTTGTCTATTTGTTTCCCTTTCGCTCGCTCTCAGACAAAATGTAAAGATAGCATGGGCATGCAGTGGACAGATAATATAAACTATTAACCCTGAAAGTGAAATCATTTCTCCCCATTGAATCATACAGCTCTTCAGAATGTAGCAGGAGTGTGTGAGCGTCCACACGCCGATGTTGTGCAGCAAGACAGAGTGGTTAGACATGTGGAGTTTGGAGATGCAGCTGTTGGGAAGTAGCTGTTGTCCTAAATATTTTGGCAAGGTCTGCTCATTGAGATTACAAATGGTCCCTCTGTAGCAACTTCACTGTGGCCTCACTCATTTGGAGCATTTTTAGGAGGGCAATGCTGGTCTGTCTGTTAGTTGGTCGTACCATACATTTGGTACAGACTTTTATGATCCTCAGGGGATAAATATTACTGACTTTGGTGATCCCTTGACCTTTGACCGTAAATTATTATGGTCAAATACCACTTGTTTTCAAAGTGAAATATTCTCTCAATTATTGGATGGATTTCAATGAAATGTTCTACAGATATTTGAAGTCCTATTAGAGTGCTAAAGGAATGAAAGGAATAAGTACTAAAACCACAAAATTACTTAGCATGAGTCGCTCCCATCATCTCAAAGTCGATGGGGTTTTGGTTAGAAGCCTGTAATAAGGTCTGTAATTAACACATGCATGCATAAGATTTTCATATTTTATCCTGCAACATAAAACGGGGTTATAAATATCTCGCTTGAGAGTTTTGAAGCTTTATGTGCTTTTAAAAAAGGCGGTTACTAACAAGTGGCTCAATGACAGTACAGAGGTCTTTGGGGAATACAAACATCATGACCAATCTTTCATTTATTGAATTTAACTTTATTATTCTTAATAGTTCTTGTACGAATTCTTGTTTTCCCCCAAAAATTAATACTTTTCATTTGAAGATGTTTATAAGCTAAATACGTTTATATTTCTTGAAGTAAACGATAGTAAAGCATCATTATAACATAGGTATCTTAACTTTGATATTGTGTTTGCACTGGTATTGAATGATTTTAGCCCCAGTGAATGAGACGTATAGGACTGCGGAAAGGGAGATATATTCAGGTGTTATTTCTCTCTGTTTTAAGTATTAATAAAACGGAACACAAAGAGCTTTGTCAGCAGATGTAATCCTTTACAGATTGCTTTTATGTATTGCTCATATCCTCTCTACGTCCCTGTCTTTCTCAGGAGGGAAAGAAGCAGTTTGACAAGGAGACAGAAAGGTACTACTCTGTTCTGGAGAAACACCTCAGCCTGTCGTCCAAAAAGAAGGAATCACAGCTAACCGAGGTAAAGTGTTAGACTCCTCGAGGCATGCACCAAGTTCCTCCCACGTGTGTTAGGTAACAAAAGTGACTTTATGACCGTCGTTTCTGTTTTTGTTTCAGGCTGATTCACAGATGAGTAAAGACAGGCAGGTTTTTTATGATGCCTCTCTGCAGTATGTCTTCAAGATCCAAGAAGTGCAGGAGAGAAAGAAGTTTGAGTTTGTGGAGCCGGTGAGTTCACAAACATACCTCATGATCATGTTTGTTATGCAACTTTATCACTATTTTACAGACTTTACAGCTCTGACCAAAAGACAGAAATCAAAGCCACACACAATGTTTCATCACAGGAAAATATGACTGTGTTTTTTGTGCTGCTTGTAAACAATGACAGCATCAACATTAGGTCACAATTGCAGCTAAGCCCGTAATGGTTGTGTGTGTGCTAACATAACTTATCATGGAAAGACAGCCAGTCCAGTTTCTGAAAAACACACATAACACACACTGTTCGGACGATGATAAAATGGTTTTAATGATTGATATCAGTAAAGCCCACTTCCTGTTGCTGTGGAAGCACTTCCTGCATGGAGATCTGTACCGCCTGACAGAGAGGAAAATCTTTGTTGTAAATAATGACAGAAACCCAAACAACATTTAGTTAGGGGTGTTTTCTCTTACATAGGCCATGTTGATAAATTGAGCAGATGACAGACGATCCCTCTTTTCTAATCCTCTCATTATTACTACATTTTTTCTCTGTATTTCTCCCTCTGATCTTCAGCTATTAGCCTTCCTGCAGGGTTTGTTTACGTTCTACCATGAGGGCTACGAGCTGGCCAGTGAATTTGAACCCTACAAGCAAGAACTGCAGTTCAACCTGCAGAATGTAAGTGTAAAATGTGGACCTGATATCATTTGTTTCATCTGGTCTACCTGCCATTAAGAAAAAGTATTTGAAAGTCAATTTTGGATGCAACTTGTGTTACCTTTGTTAAAGTGGAAACCTCACAAAACTGATACTCCTGGCATATCAAAACCTAGGATACAAACATAAAATGTGAACTTCTTTCAACCACAGTTTCTACTAGGCCTGCTGTAGGGCAGACTCATATGACCTCCTTTGCAGTTAAATCTTTCTTTGACCAATTTACCTGATAAGGGTTGGAGTTTAAAGGGGCAAAAATGTATTAGGTCGTCCTAAATTAATCATGTCCGACTGCTAACATTTATTTAATCTACTGTATGTTTCATTTCAGTTTCTCCTTCATGTAAAATGCAGTGTGTTATCTCCTCGTAAAGTAAAAACCTTTACATCACTGTTGCAGCATCAAGGTTTGCATCAGTTAAAAACTAAATGTACTACTTGGATAGACAAAGGAACTACCTGTATAAAGACTTGAAGTAAGATTTTGTATGCATCAAATTTCATTTTCATTTCATTTCAATCTTTATTTCGAACAGATTAAAAAAATAAATAAAAAAAAAAAAATGTGAAAAACTGAATATTTATTTATCCACATTCACGATAATATTTATATATTCAACAAAAAAAGTCTTCATATTAATAATAATAATAATAATTTAAAAAAATCATATGTGTCCGAAATAAATATGTATGCAAGCCTCCTTTTTAATGCCTCTTTTTTTTATGTTGATAAGGCTCGTAATAACTTTGAGAGTACACGAGTTGAGGTGGAAAGGCTGATGAAGAGGATCCGCTCTGCAGAAGAAGACTTCAAAGCCCCCAGTTGTTTTACCATGGAGGGATATCTGTATATACAAGAGAAACGTGAGCTACACAAAAATGGGTTTATTCTCCTCTCTCAGTCCATCTCTTTTACATGTTGTGAAGGGAAGCAAATGCCAGAATCAGACTTTATTTCGTACAAACCAATATACATGTGACCCTGCATGAATGTGTGTCCTGCTGTACTACAGGTCCGTTGGGCAGTGTGTGGACCAGATACTACTGTACTTATGAAAAAACCTCCAAGATATTCACCATGGGCAACACAGAGGCCAGACCAGCCAGCAGACAGGTGAGCTGCGAGCAGAGATAAATCACCAGACATTACATGTTTAAGCATGTTTACGAGGTGGAAGGTGGTCCTCCCCAGGGGGCTCAAATTGTTGCAGAGTTCAAAGTGACAAACTCACATAGGATAGCCTAAATGTGTGAATGTATTATAAGATAGTTTCGAGATACAGCAGTAGTCAGAAATAAATAAATTCCTTATGACAAATCTTTTTTATGAACTTGGTGTGGCCTAAGTTTGTTAAACAGCAATATTAGACTATCTTGGCTGAATTGTTGCATGTTTATGTAATCAAACAACATAATCATAATCTCAAAGACATCCAAGAATCGAGTGAAACCAAACAAATAAACTGAGGGGGTGAGGCGGCCCACAGTGGAAACCCCTGTTTGAGCTCATTCACTAAAAATGCCTTTCTAAAAATAAAAGGCCTTAAGTATTCAAATCATTTAAAAATAATAATTTAAACAGCAATAAGGGGCATGATTCTGTTTCACATCTTCACACAAGCACTTGAATGCACTGGCAAGAAAGAGAAACAGTCTCTACAAACGTCAGTATCATGTAAAGTAGCTGTTAATGCACATTTGACAAATACAAGAAGACATGTTTACCTTCTTGTGAAACTGTCAAGGTCCTGTAAGTACACTTTATGATGTCTTAACGCATATTACAAGGTAACTGTAGGGCTAAAAGTCTTGAAAAACGGTTTTGTTGCTTCAATATCTTTTTTTTGTGAGAGTCCATAACAGATATACCACAACACATGTCTCTGTTAACAGAACGGCGTGGTGAACGGTACACCTGAGATGTTCAAGCTGCGCTCGTGTGTCAGAAGGAAGACAGAATCAATCGACAAACGCTTCTGCTTCGACATCGAGGTGGTGGAGAGGTGAGTAGGGAATACAATGAGTGTCCGTATACACAGATGCTAAACTGAGATATGGCTGCTGTTGGAGTGTGCCCCATTTAAAAATCCTTTTCTCTGCAGGCATGGCGTCATCACCTTGCAGGCGCTTTGTGAGGCCAACAGGCGGCTGTGGATGGAGGCAATGGACGGAAAAGAACCAGTATGTATATCAAGCATTAAATAAATGTCAACAATACAAAAACATGATTGTTTGAAATGTCTCGCTAACACACATGTGTCAAACTCAAGGCCCGGGGGCCAAATCAGGCCCTTAGTGGATTTAATTTCGGCCCGCAGGATAATTTGTAATTACTATTAGATCTGGCCCGCTGGTATATTACACGCACACCTTGTCTCAATCCTGAGGATCTCCTCAGCTCAGAGCCTGACCCCAAACATTGATGAACTTGCACCCAAGATGAGATGCCAAGTATCTGGCTTGAACTAGCATCACAGAGCAGCACACTGAGTTTAATAGATGTTTCCTTCTGCACCTTTTTCTTGTGACAACAGAGCATGTTTGGTTTTTTCTTTGAGGGGAATTGTTTTTTTGAAGCTGTTGTTGGCCTGTGGAAAAATGTAATCATAAGAAATGACTCCGGAAAATTAGCAGATAGAGCCATAAGAAATGAATGCAACTGATTATTTAATGTTTAAGGTGGTTTTACAGGCAATAATTTAAGCTTTGTTGGTTCCAGGTTTAATATGTGCAATAAGTTCATTTCAATAAGTTTTACAATAAACATTGAACCAGTCCGGCCCTCGACTAGTACCGATGTTTTTATTTTGGCCCACTGTGTATTTGAGTTTGACACCCCTGCACTAACACATACCTAAACATGTTTTCACTTATTTCAGATTTACACTCTGCCTTCATTGCTCAGTAAAAAGGAGGAGAGTAAGTATCCTGATTAATGCTGTTCCTGATTGATTTCAGAAAATCATATTAATTGATATGAAGTAATATGTCTTTCAGTAAATTTTTAAGTAACATTTTTTTTTACAGCATTTCTTAACGGGCCAGGCTTCAACTTTGTCAAGAAGTGTATAGAGCTGATTGAAGCAAGAGGTATTCCTCCTTCTTAAGGACAACATTATTCGACTGAGTATTTATTATATGCCGTGTTGCTTTATGTTAAAGCATGTGTTTTTGTGTGTGTTTGCAGGCCTTACCACCCTGGGATTGTACAGGACTGGAGGAGTCAACTCCAAAGTGCAGCGGTTGATGACGAGCGTGTTTGGTAAGAGTGTGTGGTAATTTTTATGTTTTGTTATTGATTTATTCAAGCACAATAAATAGCAGTTATATTGGAGTAAAAAAAGCTGAATCTTGTATAATCTACTTTCTAGCATCTTCAGCTCCCTCTGAGGTGCAGCTGGATGCAGAGGCCTGGGACAACAAGACCATCACTAGCGGCCTGAAGAATTATTTCAGGTAACATACAGTCAAAAGTTAATTAATAATACTTCTCTTGAAATATGAATCAATGATTTGTAATGTGCGTGCAGGTGTCTGGCAGAACCGGTACTGACCTACAGACTGCATAAAGAATTCATCAAGGCTGCAAGTAAGATCCCTTACTACCTCTAAGTAACACAGGCGTAGTAACACAGGCGTAGTAACACAGGCGTAGTAACACAGACGTAGTAACACAGGCGTAGTAGTAACACAGGCGTAGTAACACAGGCGTAGTAACACAGGCGTAGTAACACAGACGTAGTAACACAGACGTAGTAACACAGGCGTAGTAACACAGACGTAGTAACACAGGCGTAGTAACACAGGCGTAGTAACACAGGCGTAGTAGTAACACAGGCGTAGTAACACAGGCGTAGTAACACAGGCGTAGTAACACAGACGTAGTAACACAGGCGTAGTAACACAGGCGTAGTAACACAGGCGTAGTAACACAGACGTAGTAACACAGACGTAGTAACACAGGCGTAGTAACACAGACGTAGTAACACAGGCGTAGTAGTAACACAGGCGTAGTAACACAGACGTAGTAACACAGACGTAGTAACACAGACGTAGTAACACAGGCGTAGTAACACAGACGTATGATAGAATCTATTTGTGGTTATTTCCACAGTGTTTTGATTAAATTCATTCCCTCATGCATTTCATGTAATAGTAAAAAAGCACAATATGTTGCCCTCTCTCCGCTGAATGGCATCCCTCCCTCTGCTCTGTCTCTTTACTGTTTCACAGAGTACGATGACCATAAGTACAGAGTGAGAGCCATTCATGCTCTGGTGCACAAACTACCAGAAAAGAACAGAGCAATGTTGAAGATCTTAACCAACCACCTCCTCAAGTACGTACAGATTAACACAAACTGTGCTCATATTGTTCAATACCTTGATCCCTTTGGCTCTGAAATTGCTTTCTCCAGTCATCTTTTTATACTTTCATGCAAATACTCAATTATTTTTTGTACTATTCCAATATTCTGTAAGACATTAAAATCATCCTCACACCATAAAAACATGTTGGTTTCTTCAAAAACATCAATTTGTCTGCAAGGAAGGCAACAGGAAATAATTATTTCACAAAATAATGAGAGGTTTATGTGCTTTAGCTGCCTCGAGTAGAGATTCAAATCGTATGCAACACTTTAATATATAGCGAAACTAACAGGAGTGCATGTAGTGACACATATACTGATCACCATTTTCTTGTTGTATTTCATAGTGTATTTGTACATGTTATGGGTATATGACAGAAAAATATATGCTCTCGTGTGTGTGTGTGTGTGTGTGTGTGTGTGTGTGTGTGTGTGTGTGTGTGTGTGTGTGTGTGTGTGTGTGTGTGTGTGTGTGTGTGTGTGTGTGTGTGTGTGTGTGTGTGTGTGTGTGTGTGTGTGTGTGTGTGTGTGTGTGTGTGTGTGTGTGTGTGTGTGTGTGTGTGTGTGTGTGTGTGTGTGTGTGTGTGTGTGTGTGTGTGTGTGTGTGTGTGTGTGTGTGTGTGTGTGTGTGTGTGTGTGTGTGTGTGTGTGTACAGGGTGTCCTCTCACAGTGACCAGAACCTGATGACTGTGTCCAACCTGGGAATGATCTTCGGCCCGACGTTACTGAGGTCCCAGGAGGAGACGGTGGCCGCCATGATGAACATCAAGTTTCAGAACATTGTGGTGGAGATTATCATTGAAAACCACAACAAGGTAAGCTGACAAATACACACACATGCATACAAACACCCATTACATACACAGAAACACACTGAACAGACATGTATGTTCTTGCCAGATTTTTGGCGAGGCCCCGGATCTGTCGTTGCCGTTACCTCCGGCTTCCTCCTCTCGGTCGACTCCTCGCAGGAGCAAGGTGATCTGTATGTCGTCGGGGAAGAGGAAGGCCCGTCTCTACCCTCCGGCTCTCTGCCTGGCAGACAACGACAGTGAGTCTCTCTGCAGCTAACAGCTCCCTTTTCTTGTCACTTATTAGTACATTTTTACTACACAACATTTATTGATCAATTATAGCTGTAAATTGCCTTTCAGATATGTGATAAGCTTATGAAATACAACCCATTAATGGAATAAAGAGAAGACTTTAATAAGGTTTATATTATTTAAACTACATTTGAGTCTCTTTTTTCTTCCTTAACAATATTGTCCGCCACAGTTTGTGTTTAAGGAGGACAGAGCCGTCTCGTCTTAGTTTTTTAGCGACATATTAAGTGTTTCATTTTCTTTAATAACACCGACACGCGGGATGGACTAACCTTGAAGTTGTCATTGTGTCTCTTCATCTGCTGACGTGTATTTATTTCTCCCTCCAGGTGACACCTTCAGCAGCAGCCCCAGCACGACCCCGATGGGCAGCCAGGAGTCTCTGTCCTCTCACTCCTCTGAGAAGAACGGCTTGTCTCAGACCTCTCCTCTGTCCTCTCCGGCTGCTGAGTCCGGCTCGTCCTCCACAGCTCCGGTGTCTCCTCCTGCCGCGTCCTCCTGCTCCCCGTCCCACAACTCCTCAAGCGGGAATGATCAGAAACAACCGCCGGACAGCGCCGCCTCCCCTCCCCTCACGCCTTCCTCTTCCCGGACTTCCTCCAAGCTCAATCCGACTTCCTCTGTGTCCTCCACGTCCTCTTTAATCTCCAAAGAGACGAGTCTGTCTGGTAAAGGAAACTCTACTGCCTCCTTATCATCCCTCAAAGAGTCTAGATCTCCTTCCTTAGCCTCCTCGTCCACTGCCTCCATCCAGGACTCTTTAGTGGAGCGCACCCCCCCCCCTCAGCAGGGGTCGACCCGTTCAGAGAGGGTCGTCTGTCTCCTCTCTGAAGAGCACTCTTTCAGTGGATCAACGAAATGCATCTAGCAATACCTCCACTCTCAAAGAAACCAAAGTGACGGACTCTACGTCTTCACCTCGGCAGCTCAGAAAACCTTACAGGACTGCCTCCTCCTCCTCTTCGTCGTCTTCGTCTTTATTCCCCTACCAGCTCTCCACATCTTCCTCTCTCACCTCCCTCCACATCTCTGAGGGTGCGTATATCTCTACATATTTAAGAGTGATGACAGTGAGAATAATGTTAAAGGACCTTCCACTTCGCAGGGCGACTGTGGCTGCAAGGGAGTGAGGTCGTCTTTCAACCAGAAGGTTGTGGGTTCGATCCCAGCCCATGCAGTCAACATGTCAATGTATCCTTGGGCAAGATACTTAACCCTGAGTTGCTCCCGATGGCATGGCCAACGGTGTGTGAATGTGTGTGAATGTTAGGTCCTAGAGTAAGGTACACTGCTCTGTGTCAATGTTAGTTCCTAGAGTAAGGTACACTGCTCTGTATGAATGTTAGTTCCTAGAGTAAGGTGCTCTGTATGAATGTTAGTTCCTAGAGTAAGGTACACTGCTCTGTATGAATGTTAGTTCCTAGAGTAAGGTGCTCTGTATGAATGTTAGGTCCTAGAGTAAGGTACACTGCTCTGTATGAATGTTAGTTCCTAGAGTAAGGTACACTGCTCTGTATGAATGTTAGTTCCTAGAGTAAGGTACACTGCTCTGTATGAATGTTAGTTCCTAGAGTAAGGTACACTGCTCTGTATGAATGTTAGTTCCTAGAGTAAGGTACACTGCTCTGTGTGAATGTTAGTTCCTAGAGTAAGGTACACTGCTCTGTATGAATGTTAGGTCCTAGAGTAAGGTGCTCTGCTCTGTATGAATGTTAGTTCCTAGAGTAAGGTACACTGCTCTGTATGAATGTTAGTTCCTAGAGTAAGGTACACTGCTCTGTATGAATGTTGGTTCCTAGAGTAAGGTACACTGCTCTGTATGAATGTTAGTTCCTAGAGTAAGGTACACTGCTCTGTGTGAATGTTAGTTCCTAGAGTAAGGTACACTGCTCTGTGTGAATGTTAGTTCCTAGAGTAAGGTACACTGCTCTGTATGAATGTTAGTTCCTAGAGTAAGGTGCTCTGTATGAATGTTAGTTCCTAGAGTAAGGTACACTGCTCTGTATGAATGTTAGTTCCTAGAGTAAGGTACACTGCTCTGTATGAATGTTAGGTCCTAGAGTAAGGTACACTGCTCTGTGTGAATGTTAGTTCCTAGAGTAAGGTACACTGCTCTGTGTGAATGTTAGTTCCTAGAGTAAGGTACACTGCTCTGTATGAATGTTAGGTCCTAGAGTAAGGTACACTGCTCTGTATGAATGTTAGGTCCTAGAGTAAGGTACACTGCTCTGTATGAATGTTAGTTCCTAGAGTAAGGTACACTGCTCTGTATGAATGTTGGTTCCTAGAGTAAGGTACACTGCTCTGTATGAATGTTAGTTCCTAGAGTAAGGTACACTGCTCTGTATGAATGTTAGTTCCTAGAGTAAGGTACACTGCTCTGTGTGAATGTTGGTTCCTAGAGTAAGGTACACTGCTCTGTATGAATGTTAGTTCCTAGAGTAAGGTACACTGCTCTGTATGAATGTTAGGTCCTAGAGTAAGGTACACTGCTCTGTATGAATGTTAGTTCCTAGAGTAAGGTACACTGCTCTGTATGAATGTTAGTTCCTAGAGTAAGGTACACTGCTCTGTATGAATGTTAGGTCCTAGAGTAAGGTACACTGCTCTGTATGAATGTTAGTTCCTAGAGTAAGGTACACTGCTCTGTATGAATGTTAGTTCCTAGAGTAAGGTACACTGCTCTGTATGAATGTTGGTTCCTAGAGTAAGGTACACTGCTCTGTATGAATGGGTGAATGACATGTAGTATGTAAAGTGCTTTGAGGGGTCTTAAAGACTGGATAAAGTGCTATATAAGTACAATCCATTTACTTCCACCTGTTTTTGTTTGCTTCTAATTTCTTGTGTTACTATCGCAGATTACAGAAGTTGTCACGGATCTGTACAGAGTCTCATGTCGTCGGACCAACAAGAGGCAACACACAAACGTAAACCTGCACACACCCGCTGGGGCTCCGATCTGAAACACCCTGCAGGCTCTGCATCCAGCAACGGCTACCAGAGGCCTGGATCACTGTGAGTGTCTGTAAATATCAGATTATAAAGTGCTCTTATGCAGCACAGCACTTTCATCCTTTGATCTGTTCTGTCAGAAAAGACCAAGACATTAAGATCAATGGGTGGTTTAGCCCAGGAGAAACAAAGTGGTTCAGTTTGCTGAAACCTTGTGGTATAAAGATGGTGTGGTGCAGAACAAATGGCATTTAAAATATTTTTGATAAAGAGTTGCACTGTAAGGAAAGGTCAAGTTTTAAAATGTCAAAACCCTTTTCAAAAAATATGTCAATTGACATGAGAATGTTATCTTATATCAGTTATCCCTGTAGATTGCACTGGTTGGCTTTACATCAAAGAGATACTACAACTCTGGGATTTGTGATTTCTGACCTCATTGGCCTGATTTGAGGATTTAATATATTTACTGAGACTGGGTTTTTCGAAACTGTCATGCTCTCACAGGAACATCTGGGAAAGATCTCCGACATAATTTCATGTTTGTGTTTTACAGAATACCAGGCAGACTACCACAGCGTGAGAGTTCAGTATTCTCCTCAGCGTTAGACATTTGTTCAGGAAGGTAAGTTCATTTCCAGCTTGTTTATTGAACAACCTTAAGTCTAGAAGCGGTCACTTGTCAGTCACTACCTCATATCAAGTCATTGAAGTCTGAAATCTACACAAGAATCACATATAGTTGAATATAATCATCTGTAGCACAGTTCTTAAATATCTCTTTTTATTGAATACATTTTTTCTTGTAGGGATGCGAAAGCTCTTTACTCGTGTGAGGCGGAGCACAGCCATGAGCTCAGTTTTCCACAGGGGGCGCTGTTCTCAAATGGTAAGATTTTACATCATGTTTTCAATTCACTGGGAAATATTTTCAATGTTTAAAAACTGATGAAACTAATCCATGTAATAGATTGTAATCTGTAATAGAATTGAATAAAAATGTGTGTGGGTCTGAATAATATAGGGCTGTTTTTATATCAATGATCCAAGAGTTGGGGAAAACCTGTGCTATCCTTTTTTTGTCTTTGTTTAATGTAATTTTAAATGGGTATGCCATTGTATGACATATTCAGTGAGATGTTATGTTCACAAAAAAGACAAGAAAGACAGAATGGGACAAATATGAAGAAAGTCTATGTTAAACTTGCTTAGCTAAGTGATAGTTTTTACATTTGAGCGGAACAGATAGTGATTGGATTCAGAAAGGATTTCATACTTTGTTAAATGTCTTTTATTATCTCCCATTTAAAAAAGATCCTGTGAGGAAAGGTAGGTGCCTCTGTTCATATAAGTAAAATGAGGCGTCTTACATAGTTTGCGAGGGTCTCAAGGGGCACAGGTCAATAGTTTTGTTCAAGCATTCTGAAAACCTGCATTATCTAACATAATCAGAGATAAACTCAATTTCCCCGAAAGTGTAACATTTGTTGAGAAGTCCTGTTTGGATTTAGATGATGTGAGTGTGTGTGAATGAAAACGGTTTTATAAATGAAGGTCTTTGTCTTGTTTGTGTTGCAGTGTACGCCTCTGTGGAACCAGGTTGGCTTCAGGCGACGTACAACGGCAGAACAGGCCTCATACCTGACAACTACATCACATACATGTGACAGACCCGGTAACCAAACAACACAAATATCTAACTTAGACTTTAGGGATCTCCAGTGCGTGCAGTAATAATCTGTGCTGCAGATCGAAGATATAATATATTCATCATGTGACTGTTACTGAACAACTGTGGCTCGATACTAACGATGTATGTACTGAATGTATATCTGACCATGCTAGGTGATATTAACCAGCTTATAATACAGTAGATGTTAACATCTTGTCTTTTGCTCCACTCCTTCATGACAGTGTCACTTAATCAACGTGATCAGCTCCTTTTATGTTGTGTTCTACACTATGCATACATGAAATGTGTCTGTAATGTACGTGGAAAAAATTTTTTTTTGATCAATTCATGTGATTTATGTATAAATTATCATACTAATATCAAAACTGTTTTTTACCTTTGTGCCTGAAACCGTGTGAATCGGTTTACGACTGAATCCTGACACATTTCTTATACTGTGTGTAAGGTTTCACACTAAATAATAATAAACTTAATCTACAAAAACAAACTGGCATTTTATTTATTTAAGTATTTGTATTTTTTTCGTGTGTTTATTTTGCATTCTCCTCAAAAACAGTACTTTTTTCCCCCCTTGGTATTGAATATGCCACTGTGCATAGCAAACTGGAATAATGAAATAATTGTTTATATTCCAAATGTTAGGGTAAGCCCTCTGTTAGTCCTGTTGTTGTTTTCAGGTACTCTTAATTGCAGGAGAAAGAAACATAATTTGCATATCATGTGTAAGCATATCACTAAATGTTTTTAATGTGCATGAACGTTGTTTCTCCAAATAATCTTCTCTTTAAAATATGTGCTCTCTACAGCAGTCCTTTGTGTGCATTATAAACAAACAAACAACACATAATCATGTATTCTGCAAGCTACATTTTAATTTAACATTCACATAAATACATTTTTATTTTATATAAATGTTTTGACACTATCACACTGTATCTACAGCCAATGATGGAGAACAGACACCTAAACACGTTCAGTTTTATGTACAAGTCTAGGATACTGGCGGTGTTGCTGAAGGTGTGCTGATCTCTGCGAGCCTCCTCAGCAGACCTTCCAGTGTCTCTGTGTTTTGTGATTTCTCCTCCAGCAGCTCATACCGCAGACTCGAGATGTCCTGCTTGATCTCTTTAAGCTCGCCTGAAGAAAAGAAAATAGAACATGTAAAGGAGACATTTCACTTAAAAATGGAAAGTATACAATTTAGAGGAGAGTAGATGTACAGTTTTAGAATCATTGTGTTTATTTTACCTTCAGTGATCTCGTCACTCTCTTTGTCTGCTTGGGCTTTGATGATATAACGCTTTATCAGACGCTTCATGATCTTCTGCAAATTGAGATAAATAAAGTGCTCAAATTCTTTTAACAGGTAAAAATAATAGTATCATACTAGGCAAACCTAAGATGTAAAATAGTCTCATGTAAAATTATTATATAATGAAAAATGTCAAACTTTTTTTTACTAAAACTCAAAACATTATTTTGTAAATGTAAATCCTAGTTTATTGCTGTTTAGGTTTGAAGAGTAGCAATGAATCATTTTGTATGAACATTTCAATTAAAAAATATATACATCTAATTCTTGAGAGTTGCTAAAGAGTAAAATAGGTTTATCTAAAATGTTAGAAATGTACATACCTGATATCTGGATGAGCTAGTTGATCCATCAAATCCAGAACTTTTGACTTCTCCGAGCTGTAAAATTAAGCTATAATGAATTGAGTTGATATTTCTCAGTCTTCTGGTCTGAAGTGGAGCCTGTGGTGCAGCAGTAAAACCACTTGGAGGTGCTCAGGCTCTGCCTCTAACACTCCACACAATGTCATCTTTTGTTCTTTCTACTGTATAAAAGCTGTATACATTTGTTCACTTTCATTATTGTGTGGTACCTGATTTAACTGTGTCTCTTTTTTCTCCTCACTGTGTCCTGCCACATACTGCTGGAGCAGCTGCAGCAGGGACTTGATGCCTGTAGCCAGTCCCAGCATGGACTTTGGACTGGGGACCAGGTTGAAAGGTACTGGGAGCGTCCTTCCCTCCTCAAAATAGGAGAACCAGAGTTTGGCCCGAGCAAACTTCCACTCAACATCAGCATCATCCTAAAGCAGATAGGAAAACAAAGGTAAAACAACAGGTTAAAAAGATAAATACACACATCAAGCCATTTCATTTTTATACGCGTGTGCACTTTGTTGCCAAGAGTTTTATAAGAAGACTGATATCGTTCTCTGAGTTTTTACCGCCAATATGAACCTACAGCCATGAGGCGATTAGCTTAGCTTAGCACAAAGACTGGAAACAGAAAAAGGAGCATCTCTAAAGCTCAGTAGTTAACACTAAATAAACTTGTTCGTTTATTCCGTTTAAAGGACACAGAAAGACGTGTTTTTTAAAGGGGGGTTATGTTCCTGACTATTTCTTGGTCTGGTCTCTGCTGGTTACCTTTCACGCCTTCAGGAAGTCATTGCACCATGCTAGTGGTTTCAAGCTAAGCTAATCAGCTGCATGGTTGTTCCTTAATACTTCCACATACAGACATGAAGTAACTATTGATTTGATTTAAAAAAGTGAATACCCTTTGCGTATGTTTGCCAAAACTTTTTAAAAAATGTGCACATTTGATCTGCAAAACAAACAAAAATACATTTGTGGAGCAAATGCAAAGCTAAGTCAGTTGCAAGTGCAAGGTTTATTTTATAGCTAAAACATGTTTATAAAATAAGGATACTTTTATTGCAATTGAGTAGGCTACATACCTCAATCTAATCTCTTGTGTTGAACCTAAAATATAGTATTGGCGTTTAACAAAATGTTACTCATGGTCAACTAAATGTTATCTTCAAATATATCAATAGAATATGCTACATGTGAGGGCAGGTAAGGCTGTCTCAGGATGCTGTCTTTGTTTGTGAGCTTGTAAATGAAGCACATGATGAATTTTGTATTTTGCTGACAAACCTCGATCTCCTGGAAGGAGCTGTTGATCATGGCGATGAGCATGTTGAGCAGCACTATCACCATGGTAACGTTGTAAACCCCGTACAGCACGTAACCAATGTTCTCGATGAATTTGTGCCCGTTATTGATCACGACAGATTTGACCTCAGACAGTCCAAAAATAGCCCAGAACAACGTCTTAAAACTCTCCTCCAGGCTAGACGTAAGCACAGAGGAGGAAGTGGAGAGAGACAAGAGAAAAAAAGTTATTTTTGAATTCAAACAAACCATTAATCATCAGGACTGAGATGTTAAAGACACTCTGTGAGAACGGAAGAAAGGTCATTTTCCTTCTGTATGTACAAGAATACATTTTGTTTTCCTTAATTATAACTAAAGACAAGGTTCCAAACCATGGAGTCGGGTCACCAAAACTATTTGACACAAATTGGTCGCAATCAAGTTAAGGGGATTAGACATATCTGACTGAACATTTACATTTATTTTAATTTAATAATGAATTTGATTTAATTGATCTTTTATTAGAAAATATGGCATGTATTTGCAATCATCCAGCCTCTGAAAATCAGTCATATCATATAATCTGAGACAGAAAAAATCAGTTTTTGGTTGTAATGCTGACAGCCTGTGTCCACAACCTGTGCCAGGTAGATACTTCAAAGTGAATCTCTTGCAAGCTGCATTTCAGGGCTAAAACAGTGAATGTTTGAATGTAACATAAATAGCTCCTGGACAGTAGAAAACCCTAAAAGCATGTGCGAACAGATGCAGGTGTCTCTCACGTGGTGAAGGCATCATTCTGCTTTGCCCCAAGGTAATAGGAGTACAGGTTGAACATGCCAATCATGAACGCCAGAAAGACCAGGATGAAGATGACCATGAACTTGAAGATGTCCTTGACTGTCCTCCCCAGAGAGATCTGCAGAGGACCGAAGCTCTCATTAGCCGGTAGGATGTAAGCGATCCGAGAGAAGCTCAGCACCACGGCCACCGCGTACAGACCCTCCGATACCAGCTGGGGATCCGAAGGCACCCAGTATATACGTGCTGCAAAAACAGTAAACGTTAATATACTATGACTGACTTTTGTATACTACTATTTGTAAATCAAGTTAACCAGGACACAACATTATCCATTTTGACAGAGCATTTATGTAAGAACGCCACTTCATCTAGACTTGTTATGATCATTGGGATAAAAAAAGCTTATTTGTGTACATTTCACAAATCTTTGCTATTTTTGTTATAACTTTGGATATTATTTCCTCTTCTGGCCTTCAACAATTATCCAATACACATTTTGTGTTATAAGTAGACTTTGTGTATTTTAAGAAGTCACAATCCAGATCGGTTGGGAACCAGTCAACTCAGAATTGCATTCAAGAAAGCTATTTTTGTTGAATATGATTAGTCTAAAATTGTTCTCTTTTATCATACAACAATAACAGAGGAAATCAGACGGACTATTGGTGTTCAGAGTCCAAAGCCAACACACGTCACATGTGCTCCCATATGTACCGCCTCCTGCTAACTCACTCTATCTGTTTATACATTAAATAAATGATGGCGGTCTGAGCATGCTCACCCAGTGTAAAGTAGTTTATCTCGGGGGGCAGTGTGACATTAATCAGTGTCGTGTAGTGTGTGTGTACATAGGTCTGGGCTAAGTCAGCGTGTCTCAGGGTGGATAAGCGGCAGCTGAAGGAGGCGAGGAAGATCGCCAGCATCCCAAAGTCCAGGAAGTTCCACGGTTCAACGAAATACTCCCCTGGGCCTTGACTCCAGATTTCCTTCACCTCAGTCCAGATCATACCTGCAGTGGCACAAGGTAAGGTAAGGTACGTTTATTTATATAGCACATTTCAGACACAGAGGCAATTCAAAGTGCTTTACATCATCATTAACACTTAATAATAAGACAACAGAAAGGAACACAATAAATAAACATAATGGAATAACAGACTCATAAAAACCATGCATAAAAGAGATACAGAATAGTTTAAAAACAACATTGTAAATACGGTAGGTGCTAAAACAAGTTAAAAGGCTTCTGGGTAAGCAGCTGTAAAAAGTTGTGTTTTTCGCCTCGACTTAAAAGAACTCAACGTTAGTGAAGACCTCAGGTTTTCTTGAAGTTTATTCCATTTGTGGGGAGCATAAAACTAAAAGCAGCTTCGGCGTGTTTGGTTCTGAGCCGGGGTACAATGAGTAAGATCATATCAAGGTACATGATATGATATAACCGTGTCACATACAAAATTCCCATGCAGCTAAACTGTGTCCTTAAGCCTCAATTCTCTCAAGGATTACGATCACTGTTTTGAACGGTAGGTTGTTATTTGAAACTAAACCGGTTATGTTTAAGCAACAAATCTACTTGTCAGCTTCAGTGTTTGGTTTGGGGGAGAGAAACTCCCTCTGGAGGGAACTTTGAGTTTTAGACTTTGCAGACCATTTACATGCACAAAAACCTACGCATATAACACACTACAGGAAAGGGAAAACTTTTCCCTCTAAACATTTCCTTCCAAA